GTTTCTTAAGTTATTAAAGAATGTTTAAAGAATTTTTTTAAGTCTTCCTCAGACTTGAGAAAGTCTGAGAGAAAGGTCTCTCTTGAGACCTCCCAACACCAGAAGAGAAAGACTGAGCTGCCCACAAGGACCATCAGCCAGCTAGGGAGCAGCTGGGGGGGAGGGGGGTGACCACACCCATCACGAAAGGAAAGTCTTTGCAGGAGAGAAGAGCCGAGCCGAGCCGAGCCGAGGGGAGGAGAGCCCAGATGGGTTTTGAGAAGATCTGATTCCTGGGTCCCTCTGTACCTAATCAACCTTCATGAACTCCCTGGTTATACGCGTCTGCCTTGAGGTAGGTTTTCTGTAACTTGTGACTGTTAAAGAGTCTTGGTACATCAGCAGTGCTGATGATCTCACTCCAGGTGGGGACACACAAAAGTCACTGGCTCATTTAACAAATGTCATGAACAGGAATTTTCAAATGCCAAAATCATGCTCTGTATAGAAGTTATGAATACACTCACAACCATTCCTTTTAGTTCCTTTAATTATGCATGTTTTAAAAATAGCTCTTGGCCTCAAGAATGTCGCTTAGGTGTAAAGAACTTACCTAGCAAGCACGAGGGCCTGGCTTTGATTTCCAAGACCATAAAAAGAGAAAAAAAAATCTTTATCAATGTATAAAATTTGACATTTTATTACAGAAAAATAATCAGCCCTTTCAGGCATATTTACTGTTTAATACACACAATAGTGCAGCAAGTGTTATTCCTATACTTTTTGTAGCCAATCCCCTACTGGCTGAGGATTTAGGCGTTTGTAAAATTCTCTTCTAGTCTTCGATGAGAAAAACGTTCATGTCTGTGGTGTTTTTAAATAATTCCTTTTGTCTGTGTAGGAAAGACTTCCAAAAGTGCAGTGACGAGACAAAAAGGGATCGATTTCCTGGTTCCATACAGTGCCAACCTGCCTTTGAAAGGAAAATTATGTAACTGCAAACTGTGAAGAAATAATTTTTCTTGTCAGTATTTTAAAGAGAGAAGGCAGTGATCAACAAAGTATCTGGAAAATGCATGTTTCAGGAAGAGAAACTAATTTCAATGTATCCCACTTAAATAGGAGAGGTCCACAGTTTCTGAGCCAATTGCTGGGCACTCATTTATTTGAAGGCCACTGCCCTTACTAACCTGCTGCAATACCTCGGTGTACACATTACATTAGTTTTATGCCCCACAACACAGTCTAGACTTACAGTTACCCTGCAAACTGCTGATTCTGTCTGAGTCCACCCTTTCCACTGCCTCGAGCTGGCCAGGCTCATCCGAGGGTGCACAGCACAGAGCAGGGCCCCCGTGCACCGCGTAGTTCAGTGCTCTCTCCCTCCTGACTTCTCTGCCGGAGCCACACTCTGGATCCACCTCTCCATCAATCCTCAGTCTTGCCCTGTCTCAATCCTCAATCCTAGTGACTGTGACTGAGATCTGACACTTCATACACTGTATTAAACCTCTTCATTTATGGATTCCTTAGGAACACTTTGCTCAGTTTGTTAAGACATTGAGATTACATTTCCAGGTTACAAGTTACTACTTCTTTTTTATTACACATGACTGGTTTACTTTAACGGGGGGGAGGAAAATGTGACATTTAAGGCAGCCCATATGAGTCACTCCATGATGTCTCTACCTATATGCCACGTATCTGGAATTTACAGTGAGTTTCATTTTACTTTAAAGGACAGATCTCTTCTATAATCGTCCCCCTGGTTTTCTGTTACATCTGAAGTCCATATTCTTTGTCAAAGCTCACCAGGCACACAAGGACCATAACACTTCCTCCTGGTATCTCCTTCACTCTTCTGCAGCCACCTTTATATCCTTCTGTCATTTGCCCAAATCGAGTTTGTTTCCATTTAAGGAAGTGCAAATGAAGAGAGGTACTCCTCTGCATGGGAGCACAATACCTAGATCACTCTCACCTTCAGGGCTGTTCAGCCATCACTTAAAGAGCACAGCCATCTTCCGCTGGCCGTGTAAAACTGACCTCCCCCTCCACTCATTACCCAATTTCACTTTCTCCCCTCACCTCACTACCTGACCTTCCTGACTATGCATACATATATTGTCTATCCCTGGCCCCTCTAGAACGTAAGGATCAGTGTTAAGATGGAGGCTACTTGTACAGCACTGTCTGCCCTGTATCTGGAACACTGACCAGCTGCTCATTAAACATTCAGCTCAGTCTATGCAAAACTAGTTAATTCCTCCCAGGTTTCTCATGTCTTCAAGGATTTATCTAATGTTCTTTCTTGTTTGTCATCTAAGATCAGTATTATCTGCAGATGTCTTAGAGTGGTAGCTATTCAGAATTAGATATGAGACATGATATGAGATAGGCTATCAAGAATGACAAAAACCTTAAAGAGGAATTTGAATTCTCATGTCCATAAAGAAGTCAAAGGTAACTTCAATTTGGCATAAAAAGAGTCAATTCGAACATATCTTAACTACAAAATAATTCATCCTGTAGACTTAAATTATAAGACAAAATATATCATCTCGATTCTGTTGGAGGGAGGTACAATTCATCAGTCATCAACATATTTTTATCTGTGTCTCAAGAAACAAACAATGGAATTGTGTATGATTTTATTATAAAAGATACTCACTCATAAGGTACAATGAATAAATGATGGGCCAACCTAACTTACTGAAGGCAAAGTAGTAGAGAAGACTTTTGAGGGTATCAGAAATTCTTAGGTTGTTAGGAATCCCTATAATTACTTGAAAAAATGTTATTCTGAAATGATTGAGAACAGAAGAATAAAGCATAGTTTAAGTATAATTTTATCTAAAAACTTAAAATCCAACTGTATATTGTAGAAGAGCAAAAATTTTTTTTTATTTAAGTGGGCATTTTGCGGTTTCCAGGGAAAGTGATATAAAATTATCTGAAATAAAGACAAAAAGCAAACTTCCAACGTGTCTGTACTATATAGTTGGTGTTCTGGCATTACTTCTATGCAAATTTAAGAGTAATACCTGAATATTGAAGCTGAGGATTCTCGTCACTTTAGTGAATACCAACATTTTACAAAATTTCCCTGCAGTGCTGGGGATCCAACCCACGCTCCAGGCATGCTACAGAAGTGCCCCACCAGTGAGTGAGTTCCCTTCCCTGGCCCTAAACATTCAATTTCAAAAGACAAATGGAAATGAAAATGTAACCCTCATGTCTTAAACCCTAAACAACAGCACCTCAGGCTGAGCACTGCCTGTCACTCTCCTGTGCCTGCTGCCTCTGGCCAGCTTCTCCTGACATTCCACTGTCCGCAGCATTCACCTTCCGCTCAGTCCCCAGAACAGACGCCCCAGCTTCACTAGCAAGCTCAGACCACCTGTTACTTTACTTTTGTTCTCATCCATTAAAATGAATGCACACATATGACACAGAGAGGTAACTGCTGCCTCTGCTTTGCGCACACACATAAGTGACTAAGAAAGACAGAGTGAGTTCTAAGAGAAAGGTCTATCTTATGCATGAAATACAAGATGCACTCTGAAAAGGTTTTTATAAAGAATTGAATTTGGCATATGTACCACTTCTATGTCACCCTGAGCTAGGAGTTGTCCAGAGCTGTCTTACACAGTCATTTCCTGCCTTTGTGTCTTAATTAATCAGCAATACACAGAGGCTATACATAGGCTTCCTTTGTATTTGGAAGGGCCCAATGAGACATTCAACAGATGAGAACATGTTGTAAAGCATAAAGAATTATGTAAACATCCTATTTGGGGTTTCCCCATTTTTATTAGTACATGTTTGCAATACATGACAGCTCTATTAATTTTTTTTTTTTTTTTTTTTTGGTACCGGGGATTGAACTCGGGTCCTTGCGCTTGCGCAGCAGGCGGCGAAACCACTGAGCTAAATCCCCAGCCCATCTACTAATTTTTTTATAAAATCAATCGGGGGCCTACTTTACACCATCAAGCAAAGTGTAAGTTTTCACAAGTACTTACATGCTTTGTGTTTAAAGGTATAATTCATGTACTTATTCATTCTTTAATGATTTTTTTCAATACTCTGAAAAGTTACAAAGGCATGTCAATCAAGAGACTTAATTAGCCTATCAAAGAAACTGAGAGCCAAGCTAAACTTAAAACGAAGACCTAGAAGACATTTCCTGTGTAGTAATGAAATAAACTCTACCACTGAAATGAAATGAAGGGCCGACAAGATTCACACATCATCTGATGCAATGCTTTCCACACAGGACTCAGGGTTACCCTGTAAACCCAGCTCCAAGTTGAAGCCCAGCCTGGGAATCTTAATGATGCAGAGACCTTGTCTCAAAATACATTTTTTAAAAAAGGGTTAGGGCAGGGGCCAGGAATTTAGCTCAGTGGCACCATGCCTGCCTTGCAAGCACAAGGTCCTGAATTCAGTCCCCGGTACCAAAAAAAAAATTACATCTGGAAGACTAAATCTAGAGGTAACACAAGAACACCACATAAACTCCTCTACTTGAATTCACATAAGAAACCCTCAAGCGTTTGGCTCTGAACTGCTAGAATACCCCTACCTGGAGTGAGGAAGGGAAGGACCAGGTCTTACCTGTCCCATCACTTAGATACCAACTGAGGAGAGGACAGGGAGATGGGAGGGAGGCTCCAATACTGGCATATTGGAATTTTGAGAAAAGGGAGTGAATGAGTAGATCAAACAAGTCCTGATAAAGTCCTACAGGACAAGGTATAGAGCTCTTAACATGAAGGATCCAGAATGGGATTTGGGAACCAAAGGGGCCATGAACTGGATGTTAGGGTAGAGAGGGAAAGACACTGGCCTCAAAGACAGAGAGGACTAAGTGTGGGAAAGCAAGGCACAGCCACCCAAGACCAGGCCCAAGAAAGCCAGTCCCTGGAGCAGAGGAGCCAGAAGTCCCCGGGCCCTGAGGGTTCAAAACGTGAGAGCCTCACCTGAGGCAAACAGTGTCCCCACTGCCACCTCCTTACCTCGGGGCCTCTCCTGGTCACTGATGTGCTGCAGGTGGTGACCATGCCTGGTTCCCATGGAAAACTCCTCAGTCTCCTGGGAAGCAGGTGCTTGTGCCACGGCAGCTCCCGCCACTGCTCCACAGATCTCAGACTCGTAATCTGGCTCCACTGGCCCCTTGCGCCGGCCCGGCTTGCGGCTGGCCTTGGAGCCCACACAACAGGTCAGAATGTTCCCCATGGGGCACCACTGCACCTTGGCTCAGTCCCACTTGAGGAGCTCAGCAATGCAGAGCAGACTCATCTGCTGTTCTTTCACCTGCCCTCTGGCCAGCAGGCTGGCCCTACCCTCACCCCCCCCCCAGCCCCCTAAGCTGACTGGTCTTCTGAGGGGCAGTGATCTGGCTTATTTAAAGGGATTAGAGATCCCACAAATGCTAAGAGCCAAAGCCCCTGCCAGAGATCAAGTCAAAGTTCTTTCTCCTTCAGCAATCTCCGACCACCTCCGACCAACTGACTAGGTCAGCACCTGCCAACTGGAATGCATCCTGCGTCACCTGGTTACCAGGAGCCAATCACGACCAGAGTTCCGTCCGCATGCCCACCCAACTGGCACCCAGGCATTTGATTCAAAACACCCCGGCCCACCTGGGGCTGTCATCGCCCTCACACATAGGGTCAAGGATGTCTGTTTCCATTCTTCAGGTGCTGCCTGGAGCTTCTCTGCCTTTTGTAACTCTACAGGTGGTCTGGGTCAACAGACTTTATAGAAAGCCCCAGTTAATAAGAAGCTGGTTCCATAGGCAATTCAGCTTCTCTGAGTGGTCCAGCTCTCACTTTTCTCAGAGCATGTAGGTGCACCCAAACTGTTGGCTGTTTCTGTACCTAAATGCTCCTCTACTGTCAGTTTTGGTTTGAAATCCACTTTCTCTACATATTGGCTAAAGGAACAATTCAACAGGAAGAGATAACAATTATAAACGTACAGTATATATACCAAACACTGGCACACACAACCTCAAAAAACAAACAAATGGACAAGAAAAATCAGATAAACACCAATACAGTTGTAATGAGGGACCTCAATACCCCACTGTCACAAATGGATAGATCAACTAGACCAAAAAAAATCAACAAAAAAGTCAGAGTTTAATCAAACCTTCGAACAAATAGACTTAATAGATGTCTACAGGGTATTCCTTCCAAAACCAACAAAATGCACATTCTTCTCAGCAGCACATGGGACTTTCTCCAAAACAGACCACATACTAGCCCATAAAGCGTGCATAAATAAATGCAAAAGAATCAAAATTATCCCATCTATATTATCAGATCATAATGAAACTAGAAAGCAATGGCAAAAGACAACAGAAATTATGCACACATATGGAAATTGAATAATAATCTTGAGTGATCAAAGGGTCACAGATGAAATTAATGAAGAAAGTAGTTGCTATAATCGAACAATGACAGTATGACATACTGGAACCTATGGAACATAATGAAAGCAGTCTGAAGAGGGAAGTGTATAAAGGTGAATTTCCACATCAGGAAAACAGAGTGAACTCAAATAAATAAGCTAATGATACTCCTCAAGGTCCGAGAAAAGCAATCCAAACCCAAAGGTAGGAAATTATAAATATCAGAGCAGAAATTAATGAAATTGTGACTAAAAAAATACAAAGAATCCATGAATCAAAGAGTTGGTTCTTTGAAGGATAAAACAAAATATACAAACGCTTAGCTAACCTTATTTTAAAAAAAGGAAAAAAGACTCAAATCCATGCAATTAGGAATGAAAAGGTTGAAATTACAACAAATCCCACAGAAATCCAGAGGATCTTCAGTACCTACTTCGAGAACCTGTACTCTAATAAGAAGATGGAAAATTCAGAAAAAATGGACATATTCCTAGATTTGTATGAATTACCAAGATGATATAAAAATTTTAAATAATCCAATATCAGCCAATGAAATTGAAGATATAATTTATTTTTTTTAATTTTTAAGGATTTTAATAAAAATCAAATTTGAAATAAGATACATTACAGTATATTTATTTACATATTCATTTATTTTGGATAAGTCTTGGCCTTTTTAAAAATATACTTTATTGAATAATGATTGACGTCTAAAATCTGGGTATATTTAATGTATATAACTTAAGGAGTTCAGAGGTAATTACATATCCATGAAAGCATCATCCACCAAGACCATAAATGTCTCTATCATGTCCCAAACTTTCCTTCTGTCCCCTTTATTAATATTATCAGTTTCTGTGTCTGTGGCAAAAAAACATAAAATACACTCTTTAAAAATTATAACTATATAATACAGTATTGTGAGCTATAGACACTGTGTTGTATGGTAAACTCCGAAAGCTTACCTTGCATAGGTGAAATTTTGTACCCTTTGGTCAACATCTCCCCATCTCTCTTTCCTTCAGTCTCTGACAACCACAATTCTAATTCTCTGTTTCTATGAGTTCGGCTATTTAAAATTCCACATATAAGCAAAATTATGCGTGAAACTGTTGATAAATCAATTATCTTTTAATCTATAACCTTTCTTTAACTCCTCCCCATCCCTTTCTCCCTTTCCTCTACCTCTTTTTTTTTCTTGGAACATATTAGTTGGAGAAATGGGATCACTTGCATGTGCTCTGTTACTGAACCACACCTCCAGGGTCCCCATATGTTCTTATGGATTAATCATTCCACACTTGAATATAATTCCAGATTTTGCTTTCATCACTAAGGACCCCACAAATCTTCCTGATGTTCACTGTAAGGCCTTGGCTACTGTCACCTGCATAGTGGAAACCTGAAGGTGTGTGTTCCCCTGGAAAGAGCACTGGGGTTTAATTTAACATTTACCTACCATGTGAACTTGGGAGAGAATATGGCTCTCTGTCCTTGGTTATAAAGGTTACAAATGTGTATACTAATGTTACCTTGAAAGAGTTATTTGAGAGAATTAAAAATTATTACAAATGCAGACTATGCTGAGTGGCACATAGCATAGTTTGTCATACATGCCATGAAAGTGTTCCATAGTAGAAAAAGCATAGGTTTTAGAGCCAAATGAGCTTGGCAAGGCTATCTACAGGATAACATAGAGTCTTCACTTTTTTCACAAGGATTGAATAAGAAAGATATGTAACATACATAGTCCATGCTTGGGAGTACAGTACATATGGTAATTATAGATAATGGCAGTGGTGAAAGTTTACCAAATAAGACTAGAAGAAAGAAAAGGTTGAGTTCTATATACTTTTTTTTCTCAAAATTCTCTTTGGAGAAAGCTTCTTTCTAATAATTCCTATTTGTTTTTCTTAAAAGCAAGACATCAAAAGTGTAGATAAATACAAAATGCAATGGGAACACAGAAGAAGTAGCAAGTACCTTTTCCTGAAAATATAAAAAATTCTCCACAAGTATTATGACAGTTGGATCCCAAAGGGTGACTAAATGTCTGGTGAGTAGAAAGAAAACAGTATTTGATTAGGAAGGACCTGCACCAACAAAGCCATAGCTGTAGTTACCTGTTCAAAGGACTTAAAACCAATTGTTTGGAGTTTACCTTGTTGGCAGTAGGGACTAATGAAATGGTTCAAATAGGGGGTCTTTCGCTATGATAATTTTTGTCAGGGTAAGACAGTGGGCTCTGGGGGTTGGGCTAAGAGAAAAGGAAGCCATGACAATCAACATGCCAAGAAGATGGTGAGAAACTAATGCATTTACAAACCATGATGGCTTCCTGGCAGTTTCATCAAAGTACTAAACAAACATCTCTGAGCGTTACATGAGAAGGTAATTTTTTTTCCTACCATGATCATGGATTTGATGGTATTTGAAATTGAACTAATAAATAAAATGTTGTTATAGAACTTGTGCTCAATAAGTAAAATTTGGGGAATGGCTTAAAGGAATGATTACAAAATTATCAGGTTTATTCCCAGATTTTTAAAACACTAATGAAAACTACATCTCCCCCAGTAATCATCATTGTTTTCAGGTTTCATGAGATGAAATACAGCATACACACACACATCTCCCCACTTCATATCATGCTTCAGTTGTTTATGCTAGTGTTTCTCAAAATATGTTCTACAGAGATTTAGTCTACAGTGTTTGTAGAAATAAGCAGGGAAATAAGGGGGGAAATAGAAGCAGGGAATGGAGAGGAGAAGAGAGGAGAGGAGGAGAGGAGATTTCCAAAGTAGCTTAGTAGTTTAAACAGACAAGTATTGCAATCTAATGTATTGCAAATCTCCAACATGAGTAGAGAGTATTCCCTCTTCAACAGAGACTTCCCTCTCCCTACAAGCAGCACCAGTAAAAGAATCCTATGTACAAATATATTTGTGGTACACTAGCATCAATGCTAGTTAACTGCTTCTTAGAGACATCTCAGGAGGTGAATCTGATGACTGAGTTAATGGAAACATGTCTAGAACAATTACTGCAGAGCAAATACAGAGGTAACTGGAATATAAGTCCTGCATATAGCTTAGTTCTTTCTGTTCAGTCCAGACCAGTGTGTGTAATTATGACCAAAGTAGGCAAACAATTCCAACTTCTATTTGAAAACAAAGTTATTTTGAAACTCTCACTGATTTGTCTCTCAGTCCCACAAGGAGAAGACTCAAAATGAATAGAGGTGTAAAAGAGACCCTCACAGGTGAGGGGAGAGGAAGTTTTGCTTGGATTCTGAAACATCTCCAGGATTTTAATTCCAACTCTCAGTACTCACAGGAGGGTTCAAACTGAAATCCAAGGCATGCAAGAAAATAAACTGCATGCTTACCTCTCCTCTCCTCTCCTCCTCCGCCCCTCCCCCCTCCTCCCTTCTCCTCTCTCCATGAGACCTTAAAATATGCTGAAAGATTTGTCATCTGTCTCTACTAGGGACAGCTCTGCCATGTATGTCAGTGCTCATTCAGCCATACTGTTCTTTATCCATGGATGTGGGGGGCCTTGCCCCCCCGCTAGAACTCTTGAGTGCCTTTTACGGGCATGTCTAAGCCTGCTGCAAGTCTACCCGGCAACAAGGAAGTAGCCCCAGTACCCTCCCCTTGCTCCCTCCCTCTAGCCCTATGGTATATATGCTGTAGCAGCTTCCGCAATAAACGAGACTTGATCAGAAACCTGTCTTGTCTCCATCTCTCGTGTCCCCTGTCCTTTGTCATTCTCACTCCCCCTCTAGGGTCTCCGTTGACTTACCCGCGGGCCGGGACACATGGAGACAAAGCCACTATGTGCCATATCCTCTACACCAACCTTTGAAAGGTACACAAGGTCTAAAACCTGAAATCAGCCCTACCCAGTGAGATGCTTTTTGTACTTAATGTCCTGCAACCTGCCTGATTTGAATCTTGGAGAATAGCTATCTACCTCCCTAGTTTGAATCCTCTCTATCTGCTCTTTTAGGGATTCTACATCATGGACCTCTGCCTAATTTTTGGAGCCCCATGTCCTGTTTTATTGTCACCAAATCTTTTACTTTTGCA